CGGCTTTTTTCTTTTTGCTTATGTGGTGCTGAGGAATCGAACCCAGGGCCTCAGGCATGCAAGGCAAGCGCTCTACCACTGAGCCAACTTCCCAGCCCCACTAGTTATATTTTTAATGTGGAAAATTTTCTCTGCTGTCTTCTAGATGGGTAAGAAAGGTCTGAGCTGAGCTTTGGAGGTTTAATCCCCCCCCCACTCTCTCTTTCTCTCTTCCTTCCTTCCTTTCTTCCTTTTTTTTGCAGGACTGACATTTGAATTCAGTGTCTGAAGTTTGCCTGGTACTCTACCATATGAGCCACACCCCCAGTTCTTTTTTGCTTTAGGTTTTTTCTCATATAAGGTCATGCTTTTTTTTTTCAGTTATGGGGCTTGAACTCTGGGCTTGGGTACTATCCCTCAACTCCTCAGCTCAAGGCAAGCACTCTACCACTTGAGCCACAGCACCCCTTTCAGTTTTCGAGTGGGTTATTGGAGAGAAGAGTCTCATGGACTTTCCTGCCTGGGCTGGCTTTGAACTGTGATCCTCAGATTTCAGCCTCCTGAGTAGCTAGGATTACAGGCGTGAGCCACCAGCACCCAGCAAGGTCATGCTTTTTGTATGGGGCAGGCCTCAGATCTTGATCCTCCTGGGATGATAGGTACATGCCACCATATCTAGCTTATTTGCTAACTTTTTCTCCAGGCTGGCTTCAAAACACTTTTCTCTCAATTTTCACTTCCTAAGTAGAAGAGATTATAGGCATAAGATACTGCATCCTAGTTATTGACCTTTTTTTCAGTACTTGTGTTTGAACTCAGGACTTCACACTTGCTAGGTAATGCTCTACCATGAAGCCATGCCTCCAGCTTCTTTCCTTTTTGAAAACTAGCTAGACTGTGAACAGATTCTAGCTTAGCAGTGCTTCTTAGAAGGGTATAGTGGGCAAAAGCAGTATCAAACAGGTGCCAGTTAATCCAGTAGTACCCTTTGTCTTGTATATAAGTTTATCTTGAATATAAGTTTATCATATATAAGTTTATCTGATTTGGGGAAAGGAAGGGAAATCACAGAAATGATGGAACAAAGAGTGAACCAATGAGTCATACTAGACACTGTATTGGAATTTGGCTGGGGCTGGGGATGGGGGAATTCAGCAGAGAGTGAAAGCTGGAGAAAAAGAGGGAAGAGTAACATTGTCGGGAAAGAAAGGTACTCATTACCTTACTTAGGTAACTGTAACCCCTCTGTACATCACCTTTACAATTAAATTAAATTAAAAAAAAAAACTTAAGGTGCTGGGATTTTCACATGGCTAATAAGCTACAGAATATGGGTCTAGTCTGGTTCTTCTTCAGAGCCTTGGCAGAAGGTCTGTTGACATGGGTGCCCGCCCTCTTTCTGAAAGAGCATGTGCATTTGGAGGTCTAAGGGGCCTCTGCCTACAATAAGTGTGAAGCAGTTGCTGGACTGAAGGCTCAGGGCTTCTGAATCAAGCCCTGTGTGTTCTGCACCATTACACAGACAGGCCTTTGTGAAGGGCCCAGCAGCCCTGCTCTAACCATCAAATGGCCCCTGGCTGTTTGCTTTGGATCTGAAAGCCTACTTAGTTGGTACTTCTAGTGAGGGACAGGAAGCTCCAAGCTGGAGGACAGAGAATAAACTTGGAAAAAACACAGAACACACTGCAGGTTTTGGACAACAACCTGGAGTAGATAGACCCACGAGGCAGGACCCATGTTTCCTCTCACACTAGCTCTGTTGAGAGTCAGGGCTTAGTGAGATGCGGGCCCAGAACCTTCCACACGCTCCAGCCAGACTCACAAGCAGTTCACTCAGCAATGGGGACTCATCCTCACGTTTGCTTTCACACATAACCAGTTTTTAATTAAATTTGACTTTTTCTCACATCTGTTCACAAGGCCGGTCCCCTTAGGAAGTGGCACGCACAAATGTGGAGGCAGAATGGCAATAGAGAAAAGCAAATAGACCAGAGCCCTAAAATCCCTGTGTTTGGATGAGGAAATGAGCTAGGGGCCAGGGAATTGTTCTTGGCCCAGGGTCATTGTCCCAAGAGATTATTCTCCCAAGTTTCCCAAGTCCAGTTACTCACAGCTGGGAGGTTAGGTAGCCAACTGTGACCCTGTTCCCAGCAAGAACTCGCTCAATGATGGTTTTATTTTTCCCCCCTCTCTCCTTTGCCTCTGTTGCCCCTTCCTCCCTTCCTGGCCCCATTTCCTCCCTCCTCCTCCTCCTCCTGCCCACAGAGATCTGCTCTGCAGACTGCGGTGGCCATGGAGTCTGCGTGGGGGGCACCTGCCGCTGCCAGGATGGATGGACCGGGACTGCATGTGACCAGCGGGCCTGCCACCCACGCTGTGCTGAACACGGGACCTGCCGAGATGGCAGATGCGAGTGTAGCCCCGGCTGGAACGGCGAGCACTGCACCATCGGTATGGCCATGAGTCGCAAGGCATCTCACCTGCGCTGGGTTCTGCCAGACATCCAGGCCCAGCCTAGGCCTCCATTGCACGCGGGGGAGGGGCCAAAAGTCCTTTCATCTGGTGACATTGTGACTGCCTTTGCAAAGACCGTAATTGGATTTCAACTCATTATTTGGCTTTTTTAAAAAAATCTCATTTCTTCCAGTTTTCCTTTTTCAGGTCTCAGTTAGATGGTTCGCAGGTCTTGCTCTGGGCTCAGATGAGTCAATTGACTGCCTCTTTGCAGCTGTGAGTTACTCTCCTCACCTCTCTGAGCTTTAGTTTCCTCAGCGTAAGACATAGAGAATAGTGTATGTATGTAGAAAGCTTGGCACACCATAGAATGTTCAAGAAATGTAGCCATGATTACCAAGTTCATTATCCATTTGGGTAGCTTGAACCCAGTCCTGAGCTTTACTCCCACTGGATCAGGAGGCCCTGGACTCCAGGAAAAGCCCTGCACCCCCTCTAGGCCAGCAGGCTATCTCTATATTCCTCCTTCCCCTGTCCTCAGCTTGGGTCCTGCCAGCATTTGTCTCCTTTTCTCCTCTCAGGAGCTCCTGCTGAAGCAGCACTGTTGGCAGCTTTAAAAACAAGCTGATCACTTGGTTCTGTCTCTGACTTTCCTGCTGGTTTTGTTGATTTTAAACACAGCCAGACGTTTTGCTTGGTTTATTATCCTGGAAAGAACACTCACCAAAAGCTCTTTATTGAATCAACTTGAATCAACTGGTTTATGGATGCATTTTAACTTCTCCTCTCCCTCCCCCCCCCTTTTTTTTTTTTAAAAAAGGAAGGGTCTGGTCAGATGGTGTGCACATGATTTTAAAAAGCAGGACCCCAGGTGCCTCTCCAACTCTAAAAGTGACCTCTTGGGTCTCATAGAAACTGGAAGACAAGCCTTTAAGCTTTTGAGGGACAAAGGAATTTTAAGCAAACCTCTGATCTCTCGGAGTGGTTTTTTTTTTTTCTTTTTTAGTCTACATTCTTTTTCTTTGGTCATTAGTTTATATCACTGGTCCCCAGAAACCTACCCTGTAAATGGCTTACAGAACATCTCACATTTATTAATATTAGCTTCTAATTACTAATGGCTTCTAATTTTTGAGTATTTACAATGTGCCAAGCACTGTGCTATATTATTTTATACTGCTATCCCTGTGAAGAAGTCTGGATTCTTTTTTCTTTTCTAAGGCTAAAGGTTCTGTAACTTTTTTAAAAAGGGAGGACAGGAATTTAAAGCTGGATTTTCTTCTCACCAGTTGTTAGCGTACAGTCTTTGCAGGACAAAGCCCATTAGCATCAAGTTTACATCTTTCCCAGAGGCTGTGTCTTGATATGTTGGTGGAACTTAGAGTTCCTCCGCTTTGCCCACCCCCACTCCTCACAGAGCCACTTCCCAATGGTGGTACCCTTCCTGTTTCTCCCAGTACATGTCATCTTCTCAGCTACTCAGTGGCTTCTCGATATCAAAGTCATCCTAGCCCAACATGGTTCTTAGTGAGAAGTGGCCTTGTCATCCTCTTTAAAATCTGCTGTGTCTTCGTTAATCTCTGCTTTCTCCTCTCCTTTAAACTTTGTTTTCTCTTCTCCTTCACTTTCCCTCTCTTCAGTTTGACTGAGGATGGACTGACCTTAGAGCCTTTCCATCTGGGGGAAGATGATTCATACCAATTTAAAGAATAAGCAAACAGACAATCAGAGCCCAAGGACCTAGAATGCATTTGGTTGTCTTTTGGCTCACATTTCAAAATTTTAAAAAGCTTATGCATGTCTGCCTTTGCACCTGTGTGTGTGTGTGTGTGTGTGTGTGTGTGTGTGTGTTTTAGGTCCAGTCATGGGGCCCTGGGCACTGTCCCTCAGCTCTTCAGCTCAAGGCTAGTGCTCTACCACTTGAGCCACAGTGCCACTTCCGGATTTTTTCTTTTTGCTTATGTGGTGCTGAGGAATCAAACCCAGGGCCTCAGGCATGCAAGGCAAGCACTCTACCACTAAGCCACCTTCCCAGCCCCTGTGTGTTTTGTTACTAGCACTTGAACTCAGGAACTGGGTGCTGTCCCTGAGCTTTTTCACTCAAGGCTTGAACTCTAGCACTTGAGCCACAGTTTCACTTACCACTTTTTGCTGGTTAATTGGCTTCAAACCACAATCCTCAGATCTCAGCCTCTTGAGTAACTAGGCTTACAGGCATGAGCCACCAGCGTACAGCTTGATTGACTTTTATAAGAAAAAGTATCTCTTCTGAGTCCAATGATGAGGAACGTAGGGGCTTTCTCCCTCAGGCCCCTCACAGATAACTCATGGCCAAGCCTATGGAGAAGCTGGGTAGCATCAAGTGACTTGTGGCTATACATCAGCCTGGCTATAAGAAGGTACCATTTATTCTGATGCCAAGCAGTCAAAGCATCCTTTCTCCCTCCCTGGTCACCCCATTGTCACTCCTGAAGAGCAAATCCCTCTTTGACATTGCCAATGTTATTCCCCCTCCAGATAAGAAATATATCAAGGTAAATGTGCACGAAATAAGGGGAAGGTTGACAGCCTTAAATAGCAGGGAAATGTCATAGGACATTGAAGAAGTAATGGACCAGTCATAGGGGCTCAGATGAAAGGACTTGGGCATGGAATTCTATTACCTCTCATTGTGTGGTGAGCATTTTCTTTGTCTAATTCTTGTCTAATTTTCCTGCATGGTAACCTTCTCTCTGTGGGTCTCTGCTGTGGCCAGCTGCATCTCTGTGAGAAACACCACACTTCTGTAACCTTGTAGGATACTAGGAAGGGAGACGCATATTAGAGAAATGACAGTGATACCCTTCTTTTTTGTTGAAACAGAATGGAGGTGAGAAATCTATTTCTAATCTTGGATGACAAGGAACATTTTCTTACCTTTCCAGAGAAATTCACTCCTTGTGAAGGTGATTTAGGGGGAAAAAGGCTGCTGCTATGAAGTTAGAAACTTAAAGCACTGGGTTTTCTCTTGTTATCTGATGTCATTACTATACAGTGGGTCATTATCGCATGGCTCATAATCTAGTTAGTTCCCTCACTGGAGAAGGGGCTTATTTGTGACACTGATTCAGAGACTTCATGTAATGAAAGTGAAAGAGTAGAGGGTCTGTTTTTCTATCCACTGTGCCTCTCTAAACAGGAAAGAATGACTTGATTACCTTATAGCAGAAATGAAGAATTTAAAGAAATAGGTAAGTGTGAGCACCAATGACCAAGTCCCCAGTGTAAGAATTGTTTCTTCCCCAGTGACATTTCCAGAGCAAATTATTGTAGTTGGAATTAAATACTTTCTTTTGGAGGCTTTTCCCTCCCCTTTTATATTTCCATGGACGCTGCTTGATTTTTTTCTCAAAAGAGATTGGTTCTCAAACTAAGCAGGAACTTGACCGTGGCACTCAATGTAATAATAGTGTGTTTTCTTTTTTTTTTTTTTTCAAATGTCAAGAATACTTGACATTGAATGCTGAGTGCTAGTGGTTCATGCCTGTCACCCTAGCTATTCAGGAGGGTGAGGTCTGAGGATCACAGTTCAGAACTAGCCCAGGCAGAAAAGTCAGTGAGACTCTTATCTCCAAATAACTAGTAAAACGCGGGAAATAAAGGTATAGCCCAAGTGTTTGAGTGCTAGCCTTGAATGAAAACAAGCCAAGCAAGTATGTAAGGCCCTAAATTTAAGACCCACTTGGCATGAAAAAGAAACAAACAAAGAATACTTGACATGAAGCCTAATGTCTTATGTTCGGAGTCACCATCTCTTTGCATCATGAATAAAGAAAGGTCTTTGGTGACCACCCTATAAGAAGATCACAGGGATGGCAAATTGCAGAACAGGTAGCAGAGGAGGTGACAGTTCTGTCCCTCTACTCCACCACCCATAGAACAGCACACTAACCAACCTGAAGCTCACTTACCTGATCCAAAAATAGCCCGTGAAGGAAAAGGAGTCTTCATTTTTTGCTTCTTCAATACTCATGTGTGGAATCCAGTTCTCTGAGTCTAGAAATCCAGATAAGATGAATTGATTCAGATCTTTTTCAAGTAGATAGTCCAACACAGAGCCATCAGAGGCATGGTTTTTAGATGTCTCTTCCATTAATAGTATAGGTCCCCGAAATCTGGGACTTGACCTCTGATTTCCCTGGCAAAAGTTAAGAATCATAGTTAAATTTAAGAAGGTGTTTAATTTTTTTTCTGTATCTTTGAAAACACTACTAACATTTTGGATCAATTTTATGATGATTATTTTATTCACCTCATCTATAAAGCCTCGAAACATATGTGGGAAATGCCAGCTTCTGATTACATTTATAAAATTCCAACCTTGACCTCCCCCCCAAAGCTGTGATTGTTCAAGATGCCAGATATACAGAATTATTTACTTGACTGCAGGAGAGCTGTCTAATCATATAAATCCTGATTCTTAAACAAAAGCCTCCTCTGAGACTAAAGATCAAAATAATACTCTAATGATGCAATTGCTCGAGTGAGCAAAACCAGACTTGAGGATGAAGGAAAATCTTAGAGAAATCCACACAATATTCTGGAGTACTTTATTCACTTTTGGATGGTAGCTTTCAGGTTTCTCTTTCATAGTCAGACCTTCTTTTACCAAGAGCTAGCAAGTGGCTTATGAGGTTAGGAGGTGTCAGGACCTGATTGATAACCCTATATTTATCTGTCCTCATGAGCTTTCTCTCATAATACCTGAGATCTGACAGGACAACCTGATACAGAAGAAAAGAGGGAGGAAAGAGAGGGAGAGAGGGAGAGAGAGAGAGAAAGAGAGAGAGAGAAAGGAAGAAGGGAGAGTGTACAGATGCACCTTGAACTATCAGAGCAAAAGTTTGATTGTTAATGGCTCTGGGAGAGTTCAGTACATATGGCAGAGCTGGGAAACTAAAGGAAAGGGATTGGGCTTTGCAGGGAAGGGGAGTTCTCTTTGGGTGGGGGCCAGGCCATCGACCATATTTTCACCAGTCCTTTATCCCAAAAGAGGAAACCAAGAATGCATCCAGGATTTTCATCAAAAACATCTTGTTGGTGGTATTATTGTCCACTTGAAAAACAGTCATGTGATTATAACTACCAGAGGCATTACTTGCTAGAATGAGCCCAGTTTAGTCTGATCTAATGTGAACTAATGAGACAACTCTCATTGTTGACTTGAGGCTCCTAGACCATAAGCATGGAAGACTTTTTGCCATGTTCCCTATAACTTTGACCCTGAAGCTTTTTAAGAGCAAAACTTAGAAGCCTCTGACGGTTCAGGCAAGTCAAGGATAGAAGTTTTTATATTGGCGGTCATTGAAATGCCAGATACTTACGACCTCCCAACCCAACCTTATGCCAGAGTCTGAGTCTTTCATAAATGGCTATGTGCAACCACCATTGTCACCCTCTCAGCTACTGACAGGAAAATGGGAAGAGCCTGAGAAACATTTGTAGAATGTCAGAGAAATAAGTGTGACCTGGGAGGAAAGATAGCTTGCCATCATCTTCATCCTAAAGCCATTAGGAGACGGATGCAAGGATTTTGTGACGTCTCGAACTACCATAATTGCAAACTCATAAGCTTTGCGTTACCTTCTTGAAATGTTGGTACTTTTAAATCTTGAGTTTTAAAACGATATGCTCAGAGCAGATTTGTCAAAATTTTTAAAGAAATAATCTCCACCACAACTTGGACTTCTATATGTGTCTTTTGTAAGTAATAAATGACATTGGACTTCACAGACCCAGTTATCACTTCTATTTTCAATACCCAGAGATAAGGAAGCCACAGTACTGTCCTTGTGGACTCGGTATTGACTGACTGGCTGTTATCAGCTTTTGGATTCACAGTTTGGCCTGAGGTCTCTTTGTCACAAAGGAATCCCTTTTGATTCGTGGAGTCAGAATTTGAAGTTTTCAGTATTTGCACTAATCTCCTCAAAACCCACACAGTGGATTTAACCTGAATATGCCCAGTTGCAACCACTGGCTTCTGTTCCCACCTGCGGACTGGAGGAATTAATGAGTATTTTTTAAAGACATTGGAAATGTTCATTTCTAATAGAAATCTTTACTATGGCATGGTTCCGGAAGGTTACATGGAATTGCAAGAGGAGATTTCTGAAGTCAGCCCTAGGTTTCTGGAGATTATACTGTAGAATGAACATAATCTTCAGTAAAAACCAGAGTCATGATACTGCGTTAAGTTTGGAGACAATGAAGAACATTGTTCAGAGAACTTCTCCATTGCTACTTAGTGGTATGGTCATTTGGATTCCAATGGTGGCAGTCATCCAGCCTCACCGTCTCTGAGAAGGAAATCTCAGCTCATGCTATCTCTTCCGAACTAGATTCAGAGTTATAAGAAGTTATGTATTATAAAACTTTATGAGCTGGGCACTGGTGTCTCACACATGTAATCCTAACTCTTGGGAGGCTGAAATCCGAGACAGAATTGCATGTCATTACCATAGCTCAGTGCAGTGGTGCACACCTGCCATTCTGCCTTTGTAGAAGGCTGAAATTGGGAGGATCTCAGTTCTAAGCCAGCTCTGGGAAAAAGTCTGTAAAACTCAATCTCAACTGAAGAAGCTAGGTATGGTCTAGTATACCTATCATCACAACTACAGCAAGAAGCCTAAAATAGGCAGGTCACAGCCCAGGCATGCATCTGAGCAGGAAGCAAGACCCTATCTTAATAAATACTAGCACCAAAAAAAAAAAAAAAAGAATCATGGCTCCGTGATAGAATGCCGGTACAGCAAGCACAAGGCCCTGAGTTCAAAACCTAGTACTTCCCTAAAACAAAGGTGTATTTAGGACCCTCCCAAAAATCTCTGTAGATCTGAAAGGTAAGGAAACCACCCTAATTAGAAGTTCCTATGTGTTCAATCTCTCTGATGGCAAAGCTCCATAACAGCCTGGGAGATGATATCTAAGAAATTTTAGTTCACTTGGCCAAATTAGATGAATGAGTTTGTCAGAGAATAGAGTGACAGATGAAGCAAGAATCAAAGACGTATCCTCCATAGCTAGAGATGTTTCTAGGCTTGTTTTCACGTGGGCAGTTTTCATGTTCCATTTTTCCATGTGGGAAGTCCCTATACTTGGCATTTCACAGCTTTGTTTATTCTCTCCTGCTTAATAAGCCATTCTCCTTCACAAATCCCTTCTTAGACTCTGCTGTTCCATGGACTCCACAGCATAAGGATGAGGGATGCATGAAGGCCCCATTATCTCCTCTTCCAAATTTTCCACTTGACTATGCAACAACCAGGCGTATATTTCATCTTGAACCAGAAGCCACATGGATACCTGAACTAAGAACATAGCCTCTCATCCACCTAGATCTTGCAGCAAATGCATTTTGACAAACACTGACCATATCTGTCTATCCAGAGGGTTGAAGAAGTAAAATTTATTTTTTTAATGTAGGGAGTAAGAATGTTCTTATTTGAGCACTGTTAGGTGCATTGTAAGGCTCACACCTGTGATCCTAGCTACTCGGGACGCTGATATCTGAGTATCACAGTTCAAAGTAATCCTGGGTGGAAGAGTCCATGAGACTTATCTCCAATTCACTAGCAAGAAGCCAGAAGCCAGTGGATGTGTAGCTCACATAGTAGAACACCAGCATTGAGTAAAGACACTAAGGGAGAGCAATGGAGTCCTGTATTCTAGGACTTGCAACTAGATCCACCACATTGTAATTTAGGCCTGTCTTGTTGTTTTGATTTTTAAATTCACATGTGAAATTGAGCTGAGGGTGGAACACAGGCTGGCTGAAAGCATTGGGTACTTTGGGTGAGGTCCATGTTTCTGGCCTTTGTGGGGAACACATGAGAAGGAGTCATAGGGAAATAGCAAAAGGGAAGCTCTTTCAAGGGCTGTAACTAGATGGGGAGGTGAAATGTATTTGATGTATGCTGGAGACAGAGAGGCCAGCCCTGCTGTGAATACCCATCCTTACAAGTAGGCAAGATCTTATTTAGATTATCAAGAAATTCAGGTAACACAGCCCCTCATCAGAAAAACAAGCATATGCACCTTCTGAATTCATAAGCAGTGAGGAAGTGTTCAGGCTTTTTATTCTTCTTCTTCGCAGTGACATCCATTGACCTGTACCTCACATTCTATGTAAGATGCACACAGTAAGGATGCATCTTACATGAACACCAAGCATTCTGCGTTCAGGTCTGTGTGAGCACATGCATACTTTCAAAGAGTGGCACTCAGACAAGCTAGTGGTATATTTGACCTGACTCTACCAACCTATCCGAGCTGAGACCAATTTTGCATATTTCTAAATTCCAGCATCCCAGGAACATGTCTGCCCAAAACAGCATGTTCTCAATTCAGCTGCTTCCCTTTGAGGGAGGTTGGCTGTGCCACTGGGTAGACAAAAAGTAAAGTTGTAAGTTTTCTAAAAATTTGAGCAAATCTGACAGAAGGAATGTGGCCACTGTTGCAGCTTCCCATTGTTCTTCCTCCTCTTTTCCTTATCCATGTGTCTTCTTGTTTCTCTGATCACATTTCCAAATGCCTGGATCCCAGAATGAGTTGATGTCCCTTTGCCCTTGTTAGAGAATGTGCCTGCTTCCCCTCCTTCTCTCCCATGTCATTTTGTCTTTGGTTTTATTTTTCCCCACTGTGACAGGGGCCTGTCCCAAATGTGGGGCACATCTCCCCCATGTCACCTTAGCACCTGGCATGGTTATGTGGCAGACAGTACTGTACTTTCTGGGTCCTACCTTAAATGTCCTGTCTTTTATCTCCCAAGCTCACTATCTGGATAGGGTAGTTAAAGGTATGGTCTTCCTTCCTCTATTTGCCTCTTGTCCTCTGTGTGTGTGTGTGTGTGTGTGTGTGTGTGTGTCTGTGTGTGTCTGTGTGTGTGTGTCTGTGTGTGTCTGTGTGTGAATGTATATATAGAGAATACACATAAACACTCCACGAGCACAAGGATGATGTCATCCTCCATCTTTTGCACAGCATCCACTGCCCAGGAAGAGTGGGATGGCAGCCAAAAGATGGTCCTAGAGTGTCATTCTCCACCAGAGTCACTCAGATCTGTTGTGGCATTACAATTGTGTTGTTGTCCTTCCATTCCACCCCCCCTCCACACACACCCTTCATCCTTTCCATCTCATCTCATATCACCATGCCCATCCCTTATAGCCCCTGATATATCAGAATAAAAATGCTGGGAACCAAGACCGGTGTTCTGAGAGAGGAAGAGACCCAAGAGCAAGTTAAGAAATCTCAAGGCCTACATTGTATTACTGTTGTGTTCCTTCATCCAGCAGCTACATGTGGACCCCACTCTCCAGCCCCCTACCATGGGTACACTAGGGACAGTTGCCCAGTTCTGGAGACAAAGAGAAAACAGACTGGCCCCAGGGAAGTAGATGGTCTATTTGTTCATTACTTGTTTTTCTTTTCAGAGAAGGCCTGGTTTTGGTAAGTTGTATCTTTGGAGAGAATTCCCCAAAGACAAACTGATTCATCACATTCGAAACATTTGAATTGAACTTGCAATGTGAATTAAGTAATGCCTAGTTTTCCAAAAAGGCCCTCATGGCTCTCAAACTAAGTCTCAGGATGATCAGATATGTGTACTTTTAAATGACTCAGAGCTCACTGGGGAGAAATAGCATGCCATAGTCATCTTTCAGTTGTCCAGCCTGGCATAATCCACCTGCCCTGTGGTTAGGAACATATATGCTAGGATGAGGCTGCCAGGTTTTGAACCCCAGCATCCACAGTTGACACACCAGCTGACTTTGGGCCAGTCATTTTACTTTCAGAGTCTCCATCTAGAAAAAGATCTAGAAAGCCAGTTGAGCTCACAGGGGCAGCCTGAGGATGACAACTCGTGATTAATATCAACTGCTTAGTACACGATGCTCCATTAATTGGAGTTATGCTTTTTTATCATCCTATTCTTCTTCTCACCCTTAATTTGGAGAAAGACTTCATTAGCCAGATTAATTGCTGAAAATTGTAATGGAAAAGGCTAAATTGGTTTTTAATAAGAGATCACAACTGTGGTTTAAAAACTTATGGAAAAGGTTTGGGATACTGGTAACTGACGAAATGCTTTTAGCTGGTGATGACTTTATCAAATACAATGAAAGTGTTGCTAGAATGCATCAAGTAGGAGACAAGGAGAAAGACAAGGAAGGTTCCTTGAGTTTCACAGGCTGCCCTCAATAGAGAATAAAGTCACTTGAGCAGGCAGAGGCAATACCTCTGAGCCTTTCTAAAAATAAGCATTTTACACATTATCATCCTCAGGATAGACTAAACTTCATAAGAGAATTAATTGATGGAAGTTTTTCCTAGTATGTAAAGTTCTTTTACATCCATTAGTCCTGAGTCCTATGATTTTTTTAAGGAAGGAGATATAGCTATACCTTTTTAATTGAAGAAGAAAATTGAAATTCAAGACATTGAATGACTCCTCCTGAGTCACACTTGTAGAAAGTAGTTGAGCCAGGGCTTTGGATGTCTTGGCCCAGTGTATGTTTCCAACCTTCTACTTTCTATCATCCTAAGTCGCCAATCATGTCCTATGAGTTTGCATAATTTTTTTTCCAAATCACATCTTCTAAACTGGCACTCTCCCTGGGAAGTAACCCACATTGTGTCTCTCAAACCACTTATTCTGATCTTCAATTCAGAAAATGTCATCACTAGACCTTTAGGATTAGGTCAGTGAATCAGAACTTGCTCTAAAAGATGTGTTTCTTAGCAAACATCTAAGTTTGAGCCATGCCCCTATCAAGCTGATGTTCTGGTATATCTGGAACTAATTCTTCAGGAGTTCAGTGACCTGTACTGTACAAACTCTGGAATTTGGCAGAGGAGAGTGTATATTTTGCAGTTCAGAGCAAAGCCAACTTTTCTTCTCTCTTTCCATGTGTACTGGGAAACACTAAGTTAACAATAGTCGCTCAACCAACATACTACACTCATAGATGCCAAGCATTGTGGATATTACAAGACAGAAATGTCCCTACTCTCTGAGCCTGTAGTAGTCTAGCCGAGAGGACACTAAAACAACTCCAGCAAAGTATGACGAGGGCTCTTGATTTGACAAAATTGAGGGACCACTTAGGAAGAAGACCCCCAAATTAGGCAGGAGCCTTATAGTTTGTAGAATTTTACCTGAGATACAAGAGAGCTACTGAAGCATTTTTAAGTAGGGTGGCACACCTGTGATTTGGAAGGATCCAGCTGGCCATTTTGGGAAAGGAAGACTTGAGGGGGAACACTGGGGACATGAAGGCCAAGTAGTAGACTATTGCTGTCACCAAGGTAAGAAAATATGGTGACCTTGTATGGGGAAGTGAGTGTGGAGGTGAAAATGTACATGAGGGGAAAAAGAAGGAATGGAGAGAGCAGGCTTTTGATTTGGGGTAGGTATATTGCACAGGCCCCATAGTACAATACTTCCTAGGATCTGAAAGTCTCCTACTCACACCTGGTGCCAGCCAGCTGCAAGAAAGCTTCTTCATAGGCTGGAATGAGACACTGGAGATGAAGTGGTCCCTTGTCATTTAAAGGGCATCCTTTCTTTTGAAAAGTTGAGCCCTTCTCTAACTATAAAATGATATTATTTGGGCTCTAGCAAATGCCTGGTGTGAGTCCTTCCAGAGGGGATTGTTAATGTCACTTGGGTTTTCTGAATTATTGATGAGTTTCAGGGTTTGTGGAATTAATGAGCTTCCGCCATGGGGAAGGATGGACATGTGGCTTTTAGAAAGCAAGTCACCTAGAGGAAGCTGGCTAATAGGAATGTGACAGAGAGGGAGCTTCATTCCATCCACAGGTACTCTGAGGTCCCTGGAAACCAATGAGACAGGGCAGGTCCTGAAGGTAGAGCTTGGTCCATTTGAAGAAATTGACTGTGAATAAAGACTCCCCGTGATTCCCTGTTAAGAGCTTCCTTTTTCTGAGGGAACCAGCCTCTGGAGATACCAGCCCACATTCTGTCAGCATCACAGAATGTGTACAGTAGGTATCCAGAGAGCCTTACAGAGCACGTATTCCAAAGGGGCTGTTATAGAATAGGGTATTACAGGGTTACAGGAGGAAGAATCCTGAGATCAACTTGGGAACTGCTCCAATAATCAAATGAGCAGCTTACTAAAGAAAGCCAGTTTGGAAAACATGGCATCAGTGTGTCAAGAATATAGGATGCCATGTTTTCCAAACTTGCTTGACTAGAGAAGCTTCCCTTTGAGGGCCTCTTAGGATATCACTTCCCAAAGTTGACTATAAGAATTGTTGAAGAGGATAAACCCAGACAGCTATGGTGATGCACACCTGTAATCCTTTCTCTCACTTGGTAGATGAGGCAGAAAGACGGTGAGTTTGAGGCTAGCTTGGGCTACATAGCAAGACTATGTCTCATAAAGCAAGAAAGGAAAACCTAAAAATGGAGACATAGACGACAGAGACAGAGAGACAAACAAAATCAAGACACTAAGACCCAGTTTAAATCCTTCCTGGAACAAAGTAGGATATAGAAAAGCTGAACAGGGCTAGAAAGGTGGCTCAGTGGTAGAGTGCTGGCTTTGCATGCATTAGGCCCTGAGTTTAATTCCTTACCACCACATAAACAGAAAAAGCCAGAAGTGATGCTGTGGCTCAAGTGGTAGAGCGCTAGCCTTGAGCTGAAGAGCACCCAGGCCCAGAGTTCAAGCCAGCAAAAAAAAAAAAAAAGAAAGAAAGAAAGAAAAGAAAAGAAAAAAGAAAAGCAGAACATAGAATTTTTGAGTACCAGAGATATATATCCCCTTCTACCTACAAATGGACACAAGATCTAGCATCTAGTAGATGCTGAGTAAAGACGGTTGAATTTAAGAACAGGTTCATTCAATCTTATTTATTTGACCTTTTCTTTAGTTGTGTTAGAAGGACCTAATAGATCATCTATATCTAGACACTTGCATTATAAACTAGGACACTGAGCCTAAGGGAAGCTTTTCCCAACTTACCAATCAGGCAGGAGGTACCAGAACCTTATTCTCCTGCTTTATCAATTGGTATAGTTCAACAAGTGACCACTAGGTGCAGGCAATGAATGGCTTAGGGCCCAAGTTTCTTTTCTGGACTTTGCATTCTAATGGAGGGAGTCAAACAATTTAACTAGTTGCATAAGCAATCACTTAAGTATATGCAGGATAATTGTTGTCAGAAGGACAGTATTCTAAGTAAATGCTGGGTCCACTAGTCCATGTTCCCAGATCTAGAAGAGCAGTGTTCCAGAGAAGCATGAACTGATGGGCCTGGCTGGACTTCTTGACTCTGCCTGTGAAACCAGTGCCTACCACACTGCATGCCAACCCCATGCCAACCCTCAGGATCATGTCAATGGGTTTTTGCCTCTCTTCATTAAGGTTTGCATTTATGAGCCCTCTAGCTTCTGACCCAAACATAGTGACCAGCCTAACTGACTGGTTGCCATGTAGAACTATTTTTTCCCCTTTCTCCATTGAGTAGCAGCCAACGAGCTAAAGACTTTAAAGCACTAAACTTTTCGGTTGTTATTGATCAGCTGCACAGTGAGTGCCTACCTTGCCCCAGGTCTAATTCTAGAAACTTTCACATTTGTTGTCCTATTTAAGAATCATAATGCCAGGTGTGGTAGCTTATGCTTGTACTCCTAACTACTTGGGATGTAGTGATGGAGAGAATTACAGCTCAAGGCCACCCCAGGAAAGAAGTTTGTTAAGCTCCACAGGAAGCATAAATAGGAGGACCACTATCCAGACAGCCCACACATAAATTCAAGACCCTATTTAAAATATAACTGAAAGCAAAAAGGGCTGAGATTATGGCTCAGCTGGTAGAGTGTCAACCTTGAAAGTGCAAGACCCTGAGTTCAAACCCTAAAAAAAAAAAGACTGCCATAACAACAACAACAAAAGAATTATGAGTCACCTTTCACCTCTATCATGGTAGAATATCTAGTTTTCAACCATAGTTGCACAATTTATTGCTCATAACACTGAAGCAAATTGAGCTTTCTAGCAGATAGAGTGTTTTTACACTCATACCTTTTCCTGAGTCCACTCGGGGAGAGAGCAGAAGGAAAGCATAAAAGAGACAGGCATAGTTTAGTAGTTCTTCAGATAAGAGTGTTGGAAGTTTTGTTGAAGACTTGAGTGAAATCCAAGTGACAAAATAGAAGTTCAAGCAAAGAGTGAAATCTAACATATTCTCAGACATAGATTTCTGGACCGGGCAGGGTGGGGGGTCAGTGGGGGGGGGCGGGCGGGGGCTTGAAAAAAGTTGTTATCAGAAACCTGTAAACCTATTTGAACTAAAAGAAAACCTCCCCACCTTGTCATAGGGGAGAGCAGAATCAATGAGCCTAAATATCACCCAACCTGTCTTGGTTAAACCATCTGTACCATCCCAGATGGCCATACCTCTGACTGAGCCCCACCATGTTTTTTGTGTTGCCCTCAGGGTACTTCATAGTGAATTTTATAATACAGATTTGTGTCCTTGGACAGACAGTCTGCTTCTCAAGAATAAGAGCTAGGTACTACTCACCTCGATATCTCCAGTGATAGCTCCAAGAAGGTACTTCACAAGTGACAGGCAGGTGAATAGACTCACAGTGGAACAAAATGTGAGCCAAGTGGCTGTTCTACCCACATTTACACTCAGCATGAGTTTCTCTCTCTCTCTCATGACAGTCCTTGAGCTCCTCTGGGTACAAAGCCCTCTTCACAGTGTATTGTAGACATGATAGTAAGAAAAAGATCTGAACCCTCTTCCTCAAAGTGAAGACATTATTGAAAAACTGAAAAGCCTTTGGCCCAATATAACTGACCTAGTAACAAGAGGTGAGAAAAGCAGAGCCCTTTAGATCAATGTTCATAAGTGCTGAGGGACAGCAGAAGGAGAAGGAGGGGGAGAGAAAGAGAGACATTGGCTTTCTCTAGACAGCTTCCAGGGACAAGGATCAGGCAGAACTCCCTGCAGGTTCAGTCAAACACTGACTGCATCTCAGCATTCCCATCACCTATGAAAGGGAGGATTGGAGATGAAGAAGGTATTCGTTTTAGACCTGTCCCTGCCACTTCTAACTGCAATCTTAGCAAGTCCTTCCCCTCTCCGAGTCTTGGTTGTCTTCTCTGTGTAGTGATAATGCCTCATGATTCCTGCCTCCTTGGGCTGCTGTGGCATCTGTGTGCTGGTGGATGGGGAAGTGTCATGTTTGCTGCCAGGTAGAGAGTGAATGCACACAATGGCAGTTGGTGGAGGGCAGTCAGACCTTGCGTACTTGACTCTTGTGTACTTTGTCTTACAGAGGGTTGCCCTGGGCTGTGCAATGGTAATGGCAGATGTACCTTGGGCCTGAATGGCTGGCAATGTGTCTGCCAGCTGGGCTGGAGAGGAGCTGGCTGTGACACGTCCATGGAAACCGCATGTGGAGACAGCAAAGACAACGATGGAGGTAGGCCTCAGGCACCATGGGTCCTGGGCAGCTCTGGGGGAGGGGGCTGTGCAAGGGGAAAAGGAAAGGGAGGGTGAGTATTACTGAGTTAAAGGCCATCAGCACCAGTTGTCCAGTTAGGAGACAAAGGGACAAGCAGAAAAATACACACACGGCCGAAGGAGTGAGTGCATGTCCCTTGTCGTCCCATTTGGATTCATTAAAAATCACAAGTATAAATGGAACCAATTGGTATCTAGCAGCCGTTGCAGAGAGAAGAAATACTAAAGAAGAGTCTTCAAATAACTCTACTGTACAATGAGTTGACTGGATAGCAATGCGTTCTACCTCCCTGGAGGTAGAGAAGAGGCCATCTAACTCTGCATCCCAAGTTGCTGGGAGGGTAAGCTCCTGTGGTCAAAGCCTCTTTGATTCCCATGATAACCCTTCCTAACCACACTAAGGGGTGGTTTACGTCCATACCTCTGTCCTTATGGGTTTGTCTTAGTATTTGCTTTTGCTTTTTTTTTTCAAGTGCTAGGCAGTGAAAACCCAAGGATGGAGGGGTTAGTCTTGTGGAACATTCATTATCTGAGAGTGAAAGGACGTGAAACCTAATTCCAGCTCTGACTTTGACTCGTGTCTATGCTTAAGCAAGCTATTTACTGTCTCATCAGGACCTCTCTCTCAGCCTATTTATAAAATGAAGCAGTTAGACCTTGAAGACCATTCTACTCCTTGTAATCTTCATGGAATTACCACTCCTTTTTCTGATGCATGGAAAATAGCTGATTTTTACCAATCTCACAGGGTTAGTAGTAAAATTAAATCATAGGGATAATTTTTAAATCAAAACAGTTAACCCTTTCTTTCTAATGTTGACCAAACAGTTGCCCAGTCCTAGCATAGCACCTTTTGACTTATACCAATAAACTTCCCACATACTATACATTGTAGGGAATCAACCCAAGCCAGAAATTCAGCCTCCCAACCTTTGGAAACTTCCTACCTAAAGTTCTTCTAAGTGCTCGACATTCCTTAAGAATTGAAACACCAAGTATGTAATATTGTGGTTGCTCCGGCTCACATGTCATGAGTTGGCTCTGGCAACCTAAATGACTATTTCAGACCAATGGTCTTTGTCTGGGCCACCCTGTACTCCTTCCACCTGCAGCCTGAATCTTAGGGGGCCAGGGCTGATATCCCCCACCATGGGCCCAGGGAAGTAATTGTCAACAAAGAGACTGTGGGTCGGGCTTGTTGGATAGACAGAGATGGTAAATACATGTTCTCTGTGAGATCTCACAGTGTTGGAATGTCCTTTAACCAATCTGAAACTTGGAGAGTTTATTAATTCTGTGTCACATAAATATCAAGAAATTCCATTATGGGACCAAGGCCAAGCCATCTGCCAGGTGCAGACATGAAGACACCCTGCCTCTGCCCTCCAGGAACTTAAATGAGGGAGAAAGATGCTAAGTTGAGTGCTAATGGACTGTGTTGAGTGCTGTTACAGGGTTATATGTTGGTTGCTGTGGGAGTAGAAATGCATTCATCAGAAAGGTGATACTTGACTAGAAAGGAGCTTTCTGGAACAGAAAGGGCTTTATGTTTAGAGAGATCATCATAGGGAAAGGTGGGGCGAAAGCCAAGCAGGGCACCAAGCAACCCCATCTTTAGGCAAGGTTAAAGAGATGTCAGCCTGCAATACCTACATGCCTTCCTCAGCCTCCCCCTTCACTTGGCCAGTGTGGATGCAAATCTAATGACGGACCGTAGCGTGCATGTCATAGAAAGGAGAGGAGCTCATCATAAAGTCATTCCCTCCTCAAAAGTCCAGAACTTGGTCAAAGCTTTCAAACAGCTGTTGAACATCTGGGCAGCAAAAAGAATGTTGTTGGAACATATGGAAAGAGATCACACTCCCCTGCACTACACATGCAAGATTGGGTGATAGAACAGACTGGTTCATTTCTCACCCCAAAATGCAGTACCAGTATAAGTCCTGTTTGCCATGCTGTAGAGCTAGACACCATTCCCCCACCCACCCCACTCTACCCTTTGCCCCAAGTACTGGAATTCGCCAGTGTTTATACACAGAGGCTCAAAACCCGTTGCTTGGTCCTTGGAAATGGGACTAATTAGAGCTCAGGAGAATGAAGTCTTCTCTAACTGCTCAGAGACATGAGCCAGCAGGAAGCAGAAAATCAGAACAAGCAAAAAAAAATCCCCAATTATGAGGGCATATACTTCGTACATTTTTAGATCATTTTTAGCAAAGCTACACAAAAGCATTGTGATATGAGTTTATTTACTCACTCAATGAATGCAACTGCGTGTCTTCACAACATAGGTCCCTGTGCTGCATGGTAGGGCTTCAAAGATACATAAGATACAGTCTTTGACCTTGAGAAGTTCATAATCTAGAAGGAAAGAGGAACAGGGTAGGATTGCAATACAGTGGTCTTGCTGCTCTGCTAAAAGAGAATCCACTCATTCCACTGACACTATCAGCTGCCTGGGTAAACTCTTGGGAATAGTAATATGATCCTTGTCCCCTGTACATCCAGACCAGCCAAGACCAACCATTAGTCATCACAACCATCTGAGGAAGACAGATTGTCAAGTCTTTGGTCTTGGATTTTCATCCATAAAATGGAGGAAATACTTCATTTTGGGGGCCTCCATCATTAGTGGTCTCCTCCAATGGAGGTGCAGAGGATGCCTACTTTGCATGGTGGCATAAATGAAATCACTGATAGTACCAGAAATGGACAGAGCTTTTTCTCACTGGCCTCTTTCTCACTCTGAGCCTTGCCTACCCAGTAGCAGGTTTTAGTGAAGGGAGAAGCAGGGAAAGTTTTTCAGGAGCACACACATAGGCCATACTTAGCATTGAGCTATTTGCAGTGCTGCCAAGCACACGTGTGTGGGGCTCCTGCTCCCAAGAAGGCACAATGGGGCTTTCTCAGGGTATGTGAGGACCAGCAAATGTGGTACCTCAGGAATCCCACAGCCATTCAGAAGATACTGTCATCCAAATAACTGAATCTAATAGAGGCAGAATGAAATAAGCTCCTTTATTTCACCCATGACAGGAGGTAGAACATTGTCCCAGATAAATACTTGAGGGTGGAGGGGAATAGAGTTAGTGGACCACTGCTAAATAGTTGTTCATGGTTGAAATGAGTTAGGGGCTTGGAGAAGGAATTAGCAGAGTTTAATATTGAGTAATAATCTGGGAAAGGCCATCAGGGAAATTGACTTTAAATCCTTTCTTCTCCTCTCCAGCATTTTGCAGACAGGGAACCTGGTATCCACAGAGGGGAAGTCACACCCTGTACCTCCTAGTCATCCAGAAAGACATTAGCTGGGCCCACACTAGGACCTCAGATGCTTAAGCCATTGCATGTGGCCTTGTGAATCTAAAGGACTCATCTTTTCCTAGTGCCCTCTCTTCCTCCTCGAAACATACTGGGCACTCAGTTAGGTAGTTTATAGAAAGCAGTACCATAGAGGAACAGTACCAGAGTACAACAATCACTTAAGTGTCAATCAACAATTTGCAGTTCAATTGTGTATCCACCCAATGACATATGAGGACTGTGGAACTATTGTGGACCCATACTGTTTTCTCATAATGAGGCAACTGGTTTGCATTATATTCTGCCCAGGTGGTTATCTGCCAAGGGCAATCTGTGTGAGACCTGGCCACATTAAGGATTTTCCCTGTGCCCAGACCACAGATGCAAGACCCTACCGCAAACCACCAAGGCTCTGAAATTATCTGATATCTCTGACAACTCTCATTTTCTCTTCTTTTCCTACTTGGTAGACTTAAAGCAACCCTTTTTAAATTAAATTTGAATTTCAAGGTTCATTGAAAATGCTGTGGCAGTGTTTTTAAACTGTGATAGGAAAAAAAAAAGTCGTGCAATATAGCTGAGTTGGGAGTAGCTTCATGGTTTTTGTTTTTGGTTTTGTTTTCATGTATGGCTATTGCCCAGATTTAGAAACAGAAAGCAGACCTAGAATGTACTTGGTGACATCCGTCTCTTGTTCCCTATTGAGGCTACCCCATCCATCTAATTACCTCCACCTTTTACCCCAGGGAACTGGGTGCTAAGAGCCACCAGCAAGTTAGACTGAGGGGCCCTGACTCGCCCACCCAATATGAATCCTTTGTGTACCTCAGTTTTCAAATGTGAGCTATTTATATCATATCCTGCGTGAAACCCTTTATGAATGTCGTCACACTTATCTTCTCTTTTGATGTGCATTGACCTATCCTATGAGCATGTTCATTCTTGCCTATTTCAAAGATGATGAAACTATAGTCTAAATATGCTGTGACTATAAACTTAAAGATAATAATGCCCTCCTTACAGGGATGCTTTGAGGATTATAGGTCATGTGTTTAAAGTGCCTAAGAGGCAACATAGCAAAAAAAATGTAAAATATAGGTTCTGGTGACAGGCACCAATGCTCATGCCAATAATCCTAGCTGCTGAGGAGGCTGAGATCTAAGAATCAAGGTTTGGAGCTAGCCTAGGCAGACCAATTTGAGAGACTCTTCAGTAATCAGCCAAAAGCTATAAATAGAGGTGTTGTTCAAGTGTCAGAGTGTCAGATGTGAATGAAAAAGAAGGTGTGCTCAGAAGTTAAGCTCTAGTACTAGAAGAAAGTAGATATAGGGTCTGTAATCACATCTTCTGGATTTGTATTCTAAATCCTCTATTTGCTGAATCCGTGACCTTGGCTAAATTATGCAGCTTCTCTAACACTAATTTCTTTACCTGCAAATGGCTGTTCTCTTCCTGGTTCTTTCTACCTGCAATCACAATCTGTAATGCTCATTATGAAAAGACATATTTGTATGTCAGGCATGATAGCACAAAATTGTAGTCCCAGATACTTGGTCTAAGGGCAGCCCAGACAAAAGCACAAAACCCTATCTAAAAAAGATACTAAAAACCAAAAGGCTTGGGAACATAACTCAAATGGAGGATCTTATATAAACA